TCGTCGATGATGTCCATCATATAAGGGAAAAGTGACTACTCATCAATTCTCGTTACTTCAGTAAACGTTTATAAATTCAAGTGATCTTCTTAAGACATTTACATATAGATAGGTAGAATGACTACTGGTCAACAAGCCCACCGTTGTCTTTTTGTGTATTGTCCAATGTTTTTCACGTATTGGCTTTCTGTAGGGATTTTGTTTGATTGGTTAGGGTTGGAGGATCTCATCATGAGCTGACATCATCAGTTAGAGAACCATTGGAAAACCAGCCATAGGGAGTACTGCCAGATAGATGTTTCGTCAGCCTAGTTTGGGACCCTGCTTCACCAGCACGAACCCACCCACCTTCAGGGTTTGAACTCAATTCCTTCCGGTTACAAGGTTAGCCAGCTTGTAGACCATTAAGCCACTCACTGAGGCCCAACTGATCCAATTACCAACCAGTCTATGAATTATAACTTCTGCCAATTCACGCATGACATAGCGCCACCACTTCACAATGTCTTCTTCGATGAGTTACTGCCTTACCTTCAACCTGCTACACCCTACTGGTTACGGCTTCCCACTAGAACCCCAAGTCACTGCTTGAATAGGGCCTGTCGCTAGTTAGTGAGCATCAGATCGATTTTTAAGTGTTGATTTTGTAGGCATTTTGTTTGATTGGTTAGAGGATTGTTCAGTGCGTCCACTTACACACACGCACACACACAATAAAACTTTGGAAACACTGTGATTAACACTGAAAAACCACATAGACAGAAATTAAAACACCCAGTGTGCACTGAAGTCTTAATTATAAGTGTGATGACGGATTGTAAAAGTTTGCATACTTCCCTATGGACTTCATAAACTGTTAAAAACGGAACTTGGTTTGGACATACATAACCTGCTGATCGATTAATGTTAGTTGGAGAGCCATTGAAAACCAGCGAAAATTTGTGGATAATCGTTTATGTTTTCTGGTTTAGGACTTTTTGGCAGTACATAACCCCCCCCCCCCACTGCACACACATACACGACTCCAGGACCTTCAGATGTAAAGACCAAGCTTGCTGACCATGCAACCACTTGTGTTGGTTAAACTCAATGACTCGGGAATTCTAACTTTTTTCAATCCAATATATATATATTTTTTAGATTTACAGCTTGACTCCACACTGTATTTTTGGTACAAGTATGGAATTTTCAGCATGGATATCGGTAGCCCGAATTTCGCAGGCCGACCATAGATATCTGTCTGTCTGTCTGTCTGTTTTCGACATAGAACTTTGCACAAATGTGCGGAAGTTCAAGTCGCCACATTCCGTGTAGCACGCGAAGCAAGAGAAGAAAGTACAAGAAAAGCATAATAGAAACAGTGAGCAGAGGTGTGAGACAAAGGAGTAATAAAGAAATACAAAACAGTTTCATTGAAGATCATAAGTCACAGGGAGTGGATGCATCTGCGCCACTGAGAACGGTTTTGAGCCATGTCACCAATTGTTTCCAACCATAGATTTTTACCGTCCCGAGGACCCCAGCCTGGAAGTCTACACCTTTCAACGTGGCTTAGACCAACTGTTGTGGATTTCATTGATTACAGCTTGATTTCACACCGTATTTTTGGCACAAGTATGGAATTTTCAGCATGGATATCGGTAGCCCAAACTTTGCAGGCCGACCATAGATATCAGGTGTGCGCCGGCGTGGGCTCGAACCACCAACCTTTCGGTTAACAGCCGAACGCGCTAACCAATTGTGCCACGGAGGCACGACCATTCATTTTCTCAAGCTGCTGTACTATAAAATTAATTATATTTAACAAAAAATCGTAAGACCTATCAGATACTGGTAAAAGTTGCCCTCGAAAAACGTATTGCGCAACTCATTGATAATATAATAAGGATGCGGAGAATAATAATAGTAAACTTAAGAAAGAAAGAAAACTTTTAGTAAGAACATTACTCAGGCCACAGTAGGGTGGTGAGTGAATGTGCCTTATGCTTTTGAATAGAGAGGTACGGCTTTAGATTTTTCAAACAGCCAACGATTCAGCTATGTACAGACAGCGCATTTTAAGTCCTTCTGAAAGATATTGAGGGACTCTGTGTAGCACTAGAAAGAATTCATGCGACGGTGCTCGATGTCCAGAGTCGAGGATGGAGTCGCTAGTGTTCCTCTTTTCTCCTCTAGCTGGCTAGTTAGCTAAGCTGCACAGTGTTTCAGAATACGTTTGAGAACTTGACATTGGATACGACTGATATACTAAGCTCCACATGAACAAGTAAACTGATAAATACACACACACAGTGAGGTGACCCTTAACAGCATCTTATCTTTAAAAGTTAGACTGGATTAACTGTCTGCTACAGAATGTGATATGTAAGATGGCTACCTGAAATGTCTTCTTCAGACATTTATCAAGGCGATTTCTTAGAATTTTTGCTTTGAATTCCAAGTTCATGTAGAGAAGTTTCTAAAGGACATTCGGGATTTTGGTCGATTATATGATAGTGAGGAATAAATACGTAGATATGCTGTCAAATTAGAGAAGAATGAGGTTAAATGCGAAAAAAAAATGTGAAACTCCTGAGGAAAACAGAGGAAATCACACCCACACCAACCTATCCACCCACTCACACGCACATACACAGGCTGACACACCTACACAAAGCATACAGAGAGAGAGAAAAATAATTCCGCACTTGCGTATTCTGTTTTCAAAAACAACAACGCCATGATTTAGCAATGAAACTTGCGCTGACAGATAAAAATACACCGACTGAGGGTGGAGGTGGAGGCGCACTACTGAATTCCTAATTATATGACATACGAATGGATAAGAGATGATGAAATTGAAATAAAGCAATAAAGTAAGAGACTGCGGGAAACGGAGGGCTGTAAAACGATAATTCCGTTGTTGGTTTGTCGCTTTTTTATCCTATATGCTTAGAAGTCAAGCAGTTAGTACAATAAATGAACGAAAATAATAACAACGGTGAAAAATCTGATTTAGTAGGAGTCATAAAACATGGAGGGTAGCGTGGATTAGTGAGTGAGTGAGTGAGTGGGTGAGTGAGTGAGTAAGTGAGTGAGTGAGTGAGTGAGTGAGTGAGTGAGTGAGTGAGTGAGTGAGTGGGTGGGTTGGTTGGATAGCGATGGGGATTGGAGACAACCTGTAATTAATTATTTAATTAATTAAGATAATTTTAATTAGAATTTATTATTACTGTTATTACTACTATTATTACTCTGAGCAATAAAAAACCCAAGCGAATTGTTTTGTTTGCCTTTTCTACAAAGTGAGGAGATTGGGAAATAATCAAATACGCTGAATAGGCAACTGGTCAACTAAGTAACGTTTTAGTGTTTAGTGTGGTAAACGGAACTCTCTTGGGTTCTGGCTCCACGATTACTGCCCAAAATCTCTCACCTCTCCCTCCTCCTCCTTCCCATCGCGCAAAATCGCCTCTGTCTCGCCCCTGCACCGATGAACCACTAGTCGCTTCACATCCGGATTTCATCCAAGTGATGGCCTGCATTGAACGTGATGTAATTCGCCGGCCTCCTCTTTAGTGTATGCCCAACCGATTAATTCATCTCAATTTTTCTCTTAAATATTTGTTGAGCAGTCGGCTCTTGACTGTTGGATTGCTCCACTACAGAGTTTGTTGTTACTGATTCTTTCTAACCAGTTGGCCTGCTGGTCATTTGATGTTCAGTATGAAGACAGCCAAGGAAGGTGGTAGGTGTTGATGAAAGTTTTCACTGACCTCTTAGAAATGCTTTTACTGACATAGTGGCCATTTTTCTGAAACGTATAGAAGAAATGACCGACTTCACATTTGTGTTGAACACAATCCGAAACTTGTCCCCCATGTTGACTTACCGCAGAAGATTTCCTAAATGTCTTCAAGGTTGATGAAGGCGTATCCTGCCTTTCCGATTCTGGCTGGCTGGCTCTGACACTTTTATCCGTTCCGACTGCCTGTGCTTCCCAGCCGGATAAGTGTAGGTAGTAAGTAACCTCTGTCAAATCCCCCCTTGATGATGACTGGTGCAGGTTGGGACTTTATGTGCTATAACGATGAAGATTGTAGACTTTCATCAAACAATTTCATAATTGGTCCGCAAGAATATTCAACCAAGGGCTCTAGAAGTCAGCGAACTAGCCAATAGGTATACAGAAAGAAATAAAGAGGGATGGACTGAACGGATATATATATGAAGCACTACTCTTGGTGTTTTCCTGTTTCAAATGTCCACATTTTTCCACTCAAATTGATGTCTATAGTAGTTGTCTACATACATCGATATGACGCAAGAATAAATAGTGTATTTTTTGAAAGCTAGTTAATTTTCTTCAATTCTGAGCTGAAGAGGGCTCCAAATATGACTGACCTAGTGTTTGCCGCAGTTTTTATGTAATTTATTTTGTAGATGGTGGGTTGATCTTGTCTGCCATTGCTGTTGAACAGCTCTTTTGGTCTGTATAGCATTGAATTTAGTGATTTTATTGGTTTGTCTGCACGATAATCGTTTTCAAATGCTTCTAGTATTGTAGACGTTATTTCGGAGACATATATATATATATATATATATGGCAGTAACTCATCGAAGAAGACATTGCGAAATGGTCGTGCTATGTCGTGCGTGAATTGGCAGAAGTTAGAATTCATAGACTGGCTGGTCATTGGATCTGGTCCCAGTGGGTGGCTTAACGGTCTACGAGCTCGCTTGCCTTGTAACAGAAGGTCCTGGGTTCGAACCCCGTGGTGTGGATGCGTACTGATGAAGAGTCCCAAACTAGACTGATGAAACAGCTGTCCAGTACTCTCAGGTTTCCCAGTGGCTCTCTAACTGATGTCAGCTCATGGCAAAATCTCCATCCAATATATTTATATGCATTATACATAGATGGTCATCTTTGAACATGTTTGTTTTTGGTTTTCAGAAGAAAGCTTTGGCAAGATTTTACCCTGAAAATTTTTTTTATTATTGTCGTTGTCAATTTTCAGATGTTGGCAATTTACGTATACAAAATTTAATTGAAGAGGATGAAGGGAAATATGAATGTGAAGCAAAAAATGATAAAGGCACTCGTTTGTCGTCTGGTGACAATCTACTTGTCCGCGGTAAGTAGTTACCATTATTATTCTCATTATTATTTTATTCCTTTGAGTTCCATGTGGAATATACAGGTTCAGCCAGCAACACATCGCCATTCATCTGTGTTCTCTGTGGTCTTTATTTATTTGACTTCAGGACTGGCGGTAGGCTTTGATTTCCTTTTGCAAAGGATCTCCTCTATGTCATAAATCAGACCACTTGCCTACTTGTCGTTTTCCATTCAAGATACACTCGAGGACTTGACATGTGATGATACTAACGGACTCCTCAGCTGACGTATAATCCATTTTAACTTCCTTCTAAATATTTGTTGGGTAACATCTTCTTGGTGGATTTGTTGTACTGTCATAGTTCTGTTATGACCGTTAATACACTTGGTGGTTTACGCTAGAGAAACTTCCTACTTAGTCGATTTGTGAGTCTACTGTTCTAATCACTATTACCAACAACAACAATGAAGATCCTGGGCAACACCAACAGCAACAACAACACACAACAATCAGCCAGCATATATGGGAGGAACCTGAAAGAAACAACCTCCTTTACCTACCTACCCACCTACCTGGGAAGCATCGTTTCAACTACAGGTTGGAACTGACGAGGATATAAAAGCAGCGAGGATCGGAAAAGCAAGACAAGCTTTCATTACTCTCAAGTCTATGTGGAGGTCAACACTCAGAACTCAGCATGAAAATGAAAATGAGATCCGGATTTTCAACTCCAATGTGGTATCTAGTCAGTGCTACTCACTATACGGACCAGAGACTTGGCGCAGCGTCATGGAGGACACTTCGAACAAACTACGACTTTCATCAACAACTGTCTTCGCTCAATGCTACTCAAGATCAGATGGCTGGTCAGAAAAGATCAGCAACAGGATATCTGGGAGCGCACCAAACCAGCAGGAACCGATTGTGCAACAAATAGCAGGAAGAAATGGAGATGGATTGGCCATACTCTGAGGAAACCATCAAGTGACATCACTAGACAACCCCTCGAGTGGAACCCGATAGAATGGGAAGCGGCGAGTTGGTCATCCAGGGGTGACTTGGAGGAGGTCAATGAAGAGGAGATGAAAGCATATGGGCAGATATGGAGTCAGGTGAAAAATTTAGTAGAGAACCGAACGCAATGGAGACGTCCAACAACAACAACATGATATGATACCGCCAAACCCGTGAAGCAAGAAGACAAAACGTTGACGTAGAGTTTTTACTCTCTCAAATGAACAGCCGAATAGTGTTGACCACAATTACGTATATAAATTCTTTAAACGGCCCTGAAAGACATTAATCACATTGCCAAGTTAGTATAGTCAACAACCAACAGGGTTTTAAGGTCACGGGTGTGGGGGGAATGTAAACAGCACTCTAATGTAAAGATAAATGTAGTACTCTTGAAAAAATAAATCTATGCAACACCTTCGCTCTCAAAAAGGAATAAAATAGATGTGTACTACAAAATTAGTCAACTTGGGTCACCTCGAAAATCGGACTGTCTTAGGTGTCTTGAGATGTGATTACCTTATGGGCTAAAATTCCTTCTTGTCTTCTGACTGTCGTTTGTTTGCAAACACGTTTCTTGTTCCTTGTCGTTATTGACCTGCCATTTGATCTGTGGGGTGTGGAGCTCGCAAAGTCACCTGTTGCTCCAAGTCCCCAGTAGTCTGTTGAAGATGCTATTGGTGATGCATGCATCACGTCTCTGAACCTTATAGAATAACTGACTTGAGTCTTGCTCTTCATACTAAGTAGTTCTACAGACAGTTACCATCACTCTGAACTGAAGACCAGTTGGCCGATTACAATAGATAAGTAGCAGGGAACTCTAGCATTGTACCAGCAAGTAAGAAGAGCCTATCATCCACTGAATATGGCAAAGAAAAGATATATAATTTGTGCAATGTGTTGGTAGAGTATAATTCCATTATGGGTGAAATTTATTTTTGATAAAGTCTCACAGTGTTTGTTATACAGTAATATTTACTGACGACCACGTTAAGAGCACAATTTATTACTGCACAAAATCATATCAAGATAGTCTCACACAACTTTCTGACATCGTTTATAGAATTCCACTATTTTTCATCGCTTCATTTGATTGGTAGTGGTAGTATTTTCCATATCTCCCGGTAGGAGTGATGGATCATTTCTATTGCACCTGTTGGGCGTAGACTCAATGAACAAGGTATCAGTAATTAACCCCTTTCTCTCTCTCTCCACCTATTTACATTATTTCTCTCATAGGACGAATCCGGCCATTGAGGAGAAAATTATTTTAGGAATTTAGTTATGCCTCACATCTACTATCTTTAAATTCCAGAGCAAAATATATAGACAGACAGAAAATGTAGCAATGGGATGGATCACCAATATCCCGTATTGTAATAGACATATCTATGGACAGCTGGGAAAATATTGCTCTTAATACACTTAATCCTACTCCAAAAATATGGTGCGAGAGATATGTGGATGACACTTTCACACATAGTGTTAAAAACAGAACATATTTCTCTCTTTCTAGCTTCTTGACACATATTAACTCACTAATAGAGGGAATAAAATTCACATTTGAATCGGAAAATGAACAAGGAGAATTAGCTAGGGTGTTACATTGTAAAATAAAACGAATAGAAGAAGGTAAATTACACACTAGCGTTTTTAGAAAGCCAATGCATTCTCCTAATAGATATTTAGACTTTAATTCATCTCATCCATCGTTATCTCTTAAGGCAGGCGGTTTAGTTAAGTGTCTAACAAACCGAGCAATAGCACTAAGTAGTACAAGAAAAGACCTAAATGATGAAATAAAACAGTTAGAAGAAGAGGCGTTGGTGTTGAATAACTGTCCTTTGAAATTCATTAAGAAGATCTAAAAAGGCCAAAAGCAAAAGAAAAATAATTGTGAAACTAGTAATAATAACATAAATAAGAGAGAATATAAGTCATCTAGAGTTATACCATATAAGGAGAGGACATCTGAGACGCTACGTAGAATTCTTAATAAAGCAGGAATTAGAGTGGTATTTAAACCTACAAACTCACTCAGGAACAAGCTCTGTAGGTTAAAGGACCCAGTTGACCCAATTAGACAAAATAATATAATTTACAAAATACCCTGCAGTGACTGTGAGTGAGGTCAACTACATAGGTTAAACTAGGAGGTCAGGGGTAGTCAGATTGTCAGAACATAAGAATTTAGCTAAGGTAAGAATGGTTGACCCTGAAAAGATAAATAATAATAAATAAATAATCTGATGCTCACTAACTAGCGACCGGCTGTATTCAGGCAGTTAACCTTAGGTTCTAGTGGGAAGCCGTGACCAGTAGGGTACAGCAGGTTGAATACGAGGCAGCAACTCATCGAAGAAGAAGACATTGCGAAGTGATCGCGCTATGTCGTGAATTGGCAGAAGTTAGAATTCAAGAACCATTGGATCGGGTCCCAGTGGCTCAATGGTCTACGAGCTCGCCTTGTAACCAGAAGGTCCTGGGTTCGAACCCCGTGGTGTGGGGGCGTACTGCTGAGGAGTCCCAAACTAGGGCGAAACAGCTGTCCAGTACTCCCTGCAGGTTTTCCAATGGTTCTCTAACTGATGTCAGCTCATGATTAAATCCTCCATACAATTTAGAAAAAAGTTCAGCAATTGCAATGCATGCATTAACACACAACCATACAATAGTGTAAGAGAGGGTTAAAATTTTAAGAAGTAATATAGGTAGGTGGAGAGAGAGAGTCGAAGGGGTTGATCACTGAATCCTGGTTTATCGAGTCTACACCCAATACATACAATAGGAATGACTCATCAATCATACCGATAGATATGGAAAATACTACAACCAATCAAATGAAGCGATGAAAAATAGTGCAGTTCTATAAACGAAGTCCAAAAGTTGTGTGAGTAGAAGTGCCCTGATATGATTATGAGCAGCAGCAATAAATGAATTGTGCTCGAAACGTGATCATCAGTAAATTTTTACCCAGAATGGAATCAAAACAAAAGGAGATGGATCACGGACATCTTGAGAAGATCGATGAGTCATCATATCACACGCTATGTAAGCCATTGCTTGGCTAGAACTTGAATGAAAAACAGTGATTTCAGCCTCGTTTCAACAGTCACACAGAGAAAACTGTGTGCAGAGGAGTAGATGAAGACACCTAAAAAGGAACTGCAGAGAATAGAATGAAATGGCGATGTGTGCTGTTGTTGTTGTTGTTGTTGTTGTTGTTGAAGCCATACATTCCCCTGAGAACCTACGGTTATAAAAGTACTAACAATAATCATTATTATTACTACTATTATAACAAATCGAAATCTCATACATTGTAATGCCCAGAGATTAGTAAAAGATTGATGATAGCTGATAATTTGGAAAATTTGGAAAGAAAGGCAGCCTATATCTACAAATAAAATGCCCTACCTTCATTGACATTTGATTTATGACGGTGCTTAATTTCTAGCTGTTTTCAAAAACACAGAATTAATTAATTAATTAGTTAATTAAATAAGTGAGCAACCATATTGGTAAACAAATAAAAGGGTATTTTAGAATGGAAAATGCATCGCCCAATTTCGATTCATTAGTATGTATATACAAGCCACTACTAGGTTAAATGCGAACTAGAATTTGGACATGATTAGCTCACCACGCCTGTGTGTGTGTGTGCGTGTGTGCGCGTGTGTGACCAGCATTATACCTTGAAGTAACTGACTGTTAAGTATAAAAGATCCCCTAAATGCATGCATGATGCTATATATAGTACTGATGGATTGCTATGAGTAGTTGGTGACTATCGCTTGCATCAACACTAGTAATGCTGAGTAGCCAGCCAGATAGAAATGGTCTCACACAATGGATTTCATTGTCACTAAACTGAGTCAGACTGGGTACACTGCTGGTGGAGAACTCGGCCCTTAAAAGCTAGTGAAACGACCGTCCACAGGAGTTTAGACAAGCTTGATATAGCTGGCTGGCTGACTGACTGGTTATCAGGTAAGTACTACTGGTTGGTTGATATGAGTGATATGTATATTACTAATCAAGTTGACCGATCAGTAGTATACAGTTTTTTGCGAAAAATGATCGCATCCTTGAAAATGGATAAAATTATTCAACAGCACAGGAGTGAACACTTTCATAAATAAAGAGTGATAGAATAAGTGTGAAGGGTGTTTAATAGGGTTCACCAAGTTAGGGACATAGAGGGGAGATACTCACTGATGATATGCGGGAGGCGGGGGCGCAGTTGTGCTACATATATTGCGAATTAGCAGAAGTTAGATTTCACATGTTCTTTCTTCCTTTGTAGAATATTCGCTCCTCGTTCGTATAGTGGTGAGTATCTCTGTCTGTCTTATGGAAGGCCCGTGTTGGATTCCCGGTTGAGGAGCTAGCTTTGGGCATCAGTGGTTCAGCGTTAACGCGCTGGCCGGCCATGCACGTAGTCTGCGGTTTGAGTCCTGGCCAGTGCACTCCTTTACCTGACCTGGCTAAAGCTCGAAGCCCTATGTTCCACTGGGAACGTAAAGGAATAAAATAGGAAGAATTCAAGCGGTGACCAAGGAATTCGTCCCAGTTACTGAAACGTTAACAGACTTGTCTTTTAACTTGAAGGTTCTCGTTGTGAGATCGCAGTTGCGTACTGCTAAAGGGTCTCAAACTGTGACGATACGGATGTCTAGTACTCTTTAGATGGTGCTACATCAGGATTTCAGGTCAAATAGTTTTTATCCTATACTATCGAAGTGTCACTTTCCTGTCTGTATGCAATTTAAATGTAAATTGCGTCGCTGGAGACTAGAGAGTGCTGAACAGCTGTTTTATCCCCTATCCCATCACTCCACGAGGAATCAAAACCATTTAGAAACTAAGTCAAAATCCAGTGATTCGTTGAATTCCAATTCTTGTCAATCAGTGATTTTTAACTCCACCGGCGGCAAATGCCATAGGTGAGTGTCGGCTGGATACACTCAGTATGGTGGATCCCACTGGCTATGGCCTCCTACTAGACAAAAAAGGAGACAAATTAGATTCCTATCCAGTGACTTAAGAGTCAACCAGCTGACCTCACCATCACCGGAAGGTCTTGATGAGATCTTACAGAGAAAGACACTGCTGAAGAGTCCAAAACTAGGAATGGTTTTATTTTCACAGCATGAGATCGCTAGACGCCCATTTAACCTTCCCAATTTACCAGGCTAAGCTGGATTTAAAAATGCGCAGGGGCAGGGACTAAAACCTGGACCACATGCGCGGCTGGTAGACATTCTACCGCTTCATCACCGACACAAAAAGACTATTACCAAAGATTTGTTGATTCATTGATTGATTGACTCGATGTCAGTAGGCACTTGAAGACAAACCTCTCCTACGAAGGATTCACCAATTCAGTTTACCATTACTTAAATTATTTCTCTATTATTATTTTATATATTGCAGATAACGTTGAGGCCAGTTTACAGATGCTAGCGCCTAGTAGTAGGTTATGTATATATATGATGTATATATCTGTATATATTGTGTGTGTGTGCGTGCACGAGCACAATCGATTGCATTCTATTTTAAAGTGATTTGATTGGCTAACTAACATGATTGCCGCCTATCTTTGCTAGCTCACACACACACACACATGTGCCCAAGCACACAGGAGGAGTTTGCGCCTGTTATTCTTTGTTCTTTCTGTATGCTAACTATTCTTCTCGCAGTAATTAAGTGCTATGCTGATTGCTCTTCTTGCACGCTGCTTGCATTTTTTTGTGACGATTTTGATATTGATTTTACTGATTATTGAGGCGCTTTTTTAAAATTCTTTTATGCCTGTAAACTGCATGCGGAATGCAGATTTAATACTCTTTTTTGTGTCGAATTTAAATTACTCTCCTGCTGTCAGTGGTATGATGAACAACACACTTGTTAACGCAAAGCAATGGTGTCTAGAACTACCATTCATTGTAATGCAGAAACAAAATGGAAGATGGTAATTATTATTCATCCTCTGGGGTTTCCAGTAGAATGTAAAGCTTCCAGGATCATGTCTTCCACTGTACTGTTTTCTCTGTGTGTTTTTTCTGATGTTACGGGTGCCTACAAACTCTCATTCCTTTTCCAAACCAACCTTCTCCGTCTAGCGTTTAACCCATTTCTATTCCTTCTGTATTTCTATTGGGCGATAGGTCTTTGGTTGATTCGTGACCTGCCAGAATTCCACTGTTGTTAATTCCTCTCTAGTCAACCATGTGATCCTCACTGTCAAGACATCAAAGGTGGATTATCTGTTGATGAAAGTGTGAAGCAGCCTATAAGAAGTGTTTTCGTTGACGTGCGCAGCAAGTCTTTGAATACACATATAAAAGTATTGACAGACTTGAAATTAGTGTTGAACAGACTTCAGATGTTGCTCCTTGTTTTGCTGACAGTGGTAAATCTATCTCGATAAATTGTGAGTCTGATTTGTGGTAACAGTGATTCGCACTCTGATCTTAGTCAAACCTAACACACACTTGGTGAGCTCGGCGCCGGACGAGCAAAACGCCCGTCTGGTGTTCAGAACACCTTGATCTGACTTACAAACGCTACTGATCGATAATCTGATTAGATAGACTCATGATTTAAGCAAACCGCTGTCACTAGCAAAACATTAACAGTAATTAAAGTTATCTGAAGATTGTGATCGGCGGGGATCGATGAATTTTGTGGGCGTGACAATACGCACTCTTTGATACTCACACTGGCTGAAAGCTGCGCAATATATCACGAATCGGTAGAAGTTAGAACTCATAAGCTGGTCATTACATTCAGTCCCAGTGACTATATGGACAACGGGCTTGACACTGTAACCTGAGGTCCTGAATTTGATCACTACCGATGAGTGGGTCATTGGTTAGCATTTCTAGAGAGTCTTTAACAATGAAGACACAATTGGTGGATGGTAACTACAATTGGGATCCAGGACAACACGCATTTCGTCCTTTATGGGACTCGTCAGAAAGCTGGATGTACCTGCATTCCGCAGTGAGTGGTGATGACCTTCCCACCAAGACTTGAACCCAGGGGCCATATTTTCAAACGCCAAAGCGTTATCCATTAGATTACTTGGGCCACGAGAGCCACGTCTATTGTGCAACGGTTCATATTAATAATTTAATTCAATTTTAGATTTTCCCGTCGATTGAATGGACCTGAAAATCACAGATCCCTGTTGCTGATGTTTTCTGGCCGGCCATCTGATCTTGAGTAGCATTGAGCGAAGACAGTTGTTGATGAAAGTCAGTAGTTTGTTCGAAGTGTCCTCCATGACACTGCGCCAAGTCTCTGGTCCGTATAATGAGTAGCACTGACTTCACATTAGAGTTGAAAATCCGGATCTCATTTTCATGCTGAGTTCTGAGTGTTGACCTCCACAGAGACTTGAGAGTAATGAAAGCTTGTCTTGCTTTTCCGATCCTGGCTGCTTTTATATCCTCGTCAGTTCCACCTGTAGTTAAAACCATGCATTCCAGGTAGGTAGGTAGGTAGGTAAAGGAGGTTGCCTCTTTTAGATTTCTCCCATATATGCTGGCTGATTGTTGTCCGTTGTTGTTGCTGTTGGTGTTGGCCAGGAATCTTCATCACCTACCTCTGTTTTTTCTATGTCCACTTGAAGTCCTATCTTCTCTGGATGCTTCTTCTGACATATATCATCGGCGAAGTTCAGATCCTTCAAGTTTATTTTTGTGTGGGTCCATTTTATGCCTGTCTTCTCGTGCTCGCTGTCTGTCTGTCGCACTATCCAATCTACCGCAATCAGGAAATTAATCATTGGCGATAGTAGGCAGCCAGCCTTGTCTTACTCCCGTCCTCACTTCGAAGGATTCCGTAAGTTTCCCGTTGTGGATTACTCGGTATGCAGCATTGTCGTACAACTGTTGGATGAGAGGTATAATTGTCTGTGGCACCCCGTAGTAGCGAAGTAATTGCCAAATCACCTTTCGATCGACGCCGCACTATCGAATGCCTTTTCAAATTCGATGAAGTTGAGGTAGAGAGGTGACTACCATTCCAAGCTTTGTTCAATGATGATCCGTAGTGTGGCGATTTGATCCTTACATGACTTGTTTCTCCTGAATCCAGCCTGTTCCAGTCGAAGTCTTTCATCCAAGTCGGCGTGTTTGATTCTCTCTAGGATGATGCGGCTTAGTATTTTGTTTGGATTGACAGGAGAATAATTCCGCGCCAGTTTTTCCATTGACTTGAGTCTCTTTTCCTTGGCAGTTTGAATAAGTATCCTTTCTTTCAATCCTCGGTACCTTGCTTGAGAATAATATCGCCGAAAAGAGGAGTAAATCTTCCTGAATGTCTTTTCCTGGAGAGGAAGTAAACATCTCTGTCCTATAGTTCTTAATGAATTTCATTGATCTCTCTAACTGTGGATTTGGTTCTTAACGCGAAATCTAACAACTGAAATTAAGGTACACTTCACCTGTCGATATATCCGTGTTATGCCTGCCATCACTAGCCATCACTTTCCTCCACAGACAATGTAAGCGCTGATGTAGGATCTGGATGAAAAGGGCTAGCGGTAGTCAAATCTAAACCTTGAAGTCAGTCCACCAATTCGTTAACAATTAGTTTGAGCCAGCTATGTAGGGAGGTGAAGACTGCCGTCTGGGACAACTGGTGATATGTGGCTGAGAAATATTATTCTCAATGATGACTGAGATGAACTCATCTCACTGTCTATGATCTGGCATATCCATCAATAACCAAGGTTTTTTTTCAATGTTAACATCCTTTCTCCCTAACATTTCTGCTCAGTATCGCTCTCGAGAATCTCTTGGTTCTATGTTGAACCCAGTCAGCCAGCCAGTCAGTCAGTCAGTCAGTCGGTTTATATGAGTCTTTAAGTTATAAACAAATATAGTCTTACCTCCACACCCACTACCCTATACTTTCAACGCCCGCCCGACACCCCTCTTCTCCACGCTTTTCTCAGTTATCCAATGAAGCCGACTCTTACACCACCTCAGTGTATCTTGCCTACTGTCTCTGTCATAAAAACCGATAATAAATCACGCAGTCAAATGGGAAAATTACGAAGGAAGGAAGTAGGGTGGGTGGGTGGATGTTTGTTTAGATGGAAAGCAAGAAAGTATCCAGAGAATTAAAATTTATGAAATGGGATATAAAATTTTTAATTATTTGTAGATATATATATTATATATATTGCCTCATTAATTTTCCGCTTCGACATAAAACCAAAATGGACAATTGTATAAGCCGCCACCTCATCACCCTAACAACAACGACGTCAGAATCACACTATTATTATTAATACCATTTAGGTTTTACTACTTAAAGACTGGACAAAGATTGGAGAATATTTTAGCATTGTTTCTTTTCTGAATTCCTTTACGTTCTCAGCGCTGGAACACAGGCTTCAAGCCAGAGATTTAAAGTTTTGGTAGCGGTGGTGTTCATTTATTTTTTTTAAAGGATGAGATTACTAGCCTCATGCCCAACCCACCTTTTTTACCAATCTTTTTACAGGCTTAGCAGGGTAAAGAAGCGCGTGGTCTGGAGTTCGATCCCCGGCCAACTCACTCCTTTATCTGAGGTCAGCAACCTCATCCCTTTAAAAATAAACACTACCGCTACCGAAACTTCAAGTCTTTAGCTTAAAGCCCTATATTCCAGCGCTGAGAACGTAGAGGAGTTAAAACATAAAATCTCCTGTATAACTAATAGCAAAGAGATTTGCAGCTCACTAGCCGTCGTCTTCTTCGACAGGCAGTCTTAGGGTTAGATAGGTGTGGTCAAAGCAAAATCTAACATCCATTCATCAAAATCATTGACATTTCGTTTGAGTCAGCCAATGTAGAGAAGTGTTTAGACTGCCTGCTTTGGGACTATTGGTGACATGTGGCTGCTCAAAATTGTTCTCATTCATGATGGCATATATGAATTCATTATTTTTAGTTTCTTAAATCCACTGAACCTTCAGGGTGCTATTCTTTCTTCTTCTGTACATTTCTGAATATCTTTTTTCTCTCTTATTTCTATCTTTCTCTGGAGTACTACATTTTATTATTATCATCACTATTCCGTTATATTCCGAGTGAAACATACGACTTCAGCAGCATATCTCCACTTCGTCCTTTCCTCTGCAGTCCTCTTCATCTGATGCCACAGTTGCCTATAGGCTCTCATATCCTCCTCCTCCTCCTCCTATTCACACGATCTCCTCCATTCCACTCTTGAAGCCAAGCCCCACACGTCGTTTCCCATTCAGGTTTCATTCAAGTGATGGCTTGCTGTGTGATGTCATTCGACGTCTGTTCAGTACATTTCCATTTTCTTCTACATATTTGTTGAATATCGGCGTCTTGATTGGTTCTCTGCCGACCAGAGTTGTTTCTTGATGGTCATTCTTTCTAGTTGGATGATGTTATTATTATTATTGTTTCCTTTATAGGAACATGGAGCTTCGGCCGCACGTCTCC